GGGGGCTCTCGTAGCTTAGAGGTTAAGATGTTCGACTCTCTCTCAAAGGTCCCGGGTTCAAATCCGGGTAGCGACAGAAAAATTTCATTTTCTAAAAGTGTCTCCTTTCACCTCCTTTCCTGCTCTCTAGCAAGGTTTTGTCGTCTACTTTCGTTTCCACTTTCTGCCCCCACTCCCTAACCAAATTTGCCCTCTTCTCTGGACTCCTGACTCTTTCTGCAGCCTTTCAACTGCTACTCTTTGGCTCCTTGCTGCTGTCTTTCAGCCACACCCCTAATCTTCTCGTAGGAAAGATCTACACCTAGCCTTGTCGGACAAGGGCTACAAATCTCGGAGGACACATGTGCAAGTTGCACACATTAAAGAACCCTTGGTGGTCTAAAATCGATAAGAATAGGCTTCGGCAGGCACCCGAGTGAAATTCAAAATTTCCTACACAACTGAAATCGTTTGGTGTATCTGGCGCGCTCATATGACCTTATTCAGTTGCGAACGCCGTAAAACACTTATCTAAAAATTAATACTTAAAAAAGCGAAAAGTCTCATAATAAGTGTTTCCTCTGTTCCATGCAAAACTGTGCCACACTGCACACCTTTTAACCCTTCCACGTGCGGGGTGAGGCTTGTAGTAAACAACGGGTACGCCGAGACCAACAGAGAGAAAATCAATGCGTTAATGCACAACAGAATTCAGACGGCCAAGCTTTGGAAAAATAATGATTGCACTTGATGAGGGTCAGGAATAATAATAATACATTAACAATAATATGACAGTAATAGATAGTATTTGTATAGCGTAAACTCCCGCTCAACAGCAAGCTCTATGCGCTTTACAATCTATAGTTTTACTAAGGGTCTAAGTCACATTTTGTTAAAAACAAAGATTTATTTTAAAGACAACCCTCTACTTCAGTGTGGTTTTAGTAAGAGCTTTACGGCACTTGCAACTCAAAGAGGTCATATAAGTGCCGAAACAATAAATGCGTTACAAGAGAGTAAAATACCTCAAAAAAGAAGGAGAAGAAATAAGGACGATATACCTCAACACTCTCCAAGAGAGACTACACTGTATTGCACGTGAGTCAAGGGATTTGGGTGGGTTTACGTCATACTTATGATGGCTTTTACAACTTTACCCAAACTCGGTAGTAATATCATGCTTAAGTCTTGATGTAATTTTTTTTTCTTTTCTCGAAACCCGAGCCAAGTTTGTGTTATCACTTATATCAGGGTATTCCCCAATATGCTATATATTTCTGGTTATTTTATTCACAGTGCCAAAGTCTACATATTTCATTTATACTTATTTCTTGCATCCTCTTATTTTCTTGCCAAGATGACGTAGACCCTTTATTTTCTCTCCCCTTCAAGTATCTGTTTCACTGACTTTGAGACCGACCATTGTCCTCACTCACTAACATCAGCAGCTTTTGGACAAGCTCACTCCGTCGCTTAGCCTTGAACATGAATGTTCTCTTGCACGTCGATAAGGACGAGCGTTCTTAATAATAATAAATAACATTTGTATAGCTCATACCCCCTCTCTACAGCCAGCTCTATGTGCTTTGCACTATGTTATTACCCCAGCAGACCATAGAACACCCAGAGACATTCTTAGCTTCCCGGGAAGCATACAGTGCAAGCAGCCGATAAAGTTCTCAGACACTACCAAACTGCCAAGTTCTTTCACTGTCTATAGTGGGTACCCATTCCAACCTGGGTGAAGAGAGGAAACTTCGAGTAAAGTGTCTTTCCCAAGGACACACAGTCGGGTCCCTGACAGGATTGCGAGTCCGAGAGCCTAACCACTAGGCCACCGACGCCGCTCTTCCCGCACGCCGTACACACTGACGAACACAACTGGAAACACACTCCCTAAACAACCGGCCCTCGAGAGGGCTTTTTTCCCAATCTATCAGTGTAAATGTCATCTGAAGGTCCCACGTTAATTTCCTCAATACAAATGTTGTGTTACAACCATCGAAATACCAGAATATTCTATAATATCATCGGCCTGCCTCCGTGATATTATTGCGAGAAAAACATGAAGCGAGGGAAAATTTCGCCCTCGAGTCTAAGCAAAAGCTGTTATCAGAGTAAAGTTTTTACACGAAAACTCGAGGACAATCCTCATACAAGTGGATCGATCTCAAATTAAAATGTGACAAGGTGCCTTTCGAAGGATAGTGTAGTGGGGGGGAAAAAAATCTAACGCTTCATTTTCTGCCACGCGTCCATAAAATACCCAGGATATAGAGTATTTTGAAACAAATAATACTTCGATGTTTGAGGCTAAACATTCTGCATGGAGCAAGTTCGATGGAAATCACATGGAAGCATGGACACTAAGTTTTTGAAGAGAAAACAGAAAGAGAAAAAGAAAAGCTATCAATTTTGCTAAGCGTGTGGAATTACTCGCTGCTCGTACGTTGTCGACGAATTGACACCTTTCAATAGGGATGTGTTTTTGTTAGGCTGTTTCCCGGAGAGAAATAAGAAAATACACTGATGGGAGAAGTTGTTATTTCCGCTGCTGCCAATCGAAGAAAATTATTATTTTGCTAAACCAATCTCTTCAAATGTAACGGAAAGAGGGAATACGTATATAATTTTGTATGTGACACATGCATTCGTTTTAAATGAACCCTCCTGCTTACTTGTTCTTTCCCGCCCAGTCTTAACGCCCAGTTGGTGTTACGTCATAATATAATGTAGTAGCTGTTTCAGTGGTAATTGAAGCTGTTTTTGTTGTCAATTCAGAAAATTGGGGCCTCTTTTTCTCAGGCATAATTAGATATTGTTAAAGCCTTTATGACATACCTGAAACAGGGTGTATTTAGTGTTCGGGAAGAAATGTTACACTTTTAAACCTTATAGTGAAGATATTTCAGGATTTGGCCATACAACACACCAGCACACTGTTTATGATGCAGAATAAGAGTGTGCAGTTCGAAGCTAAAGTATGATAGATACGACTTATGCCAACGGTTGATCCAATATAAGTAACAAATTAATGGCATTTAAAAAATAGAACATCAAGTTTTGTGACTTCACGGATACTGCAGCTAAATTAC